CCTAAACATAGTAACACAGCTATGTTTTGTGCAATGTCAATTTCATCATGGAACACTTTTTCTACAATCAGGGGTTCATTAAGGGATAAAAATAAGTTTGACATTTGTGTTACAATTTAAATTGCTATCAATGTAATAATTTAAGTTGCAGTATAAAAACAATATTAGGTCAATGTCATAGAAATATAAACTTTTTTGTATTCGGCACAAAACTGTGAATGGGCTCGGTAAAACCTCGCCCTTCACCCAGTTTCTCAGCCTCATACAAAAAAGTTTATATTTTTCTGACATTGACCTAATATTGTATATATACATGTACATGTTGTATATAAATAATTATTTCAACAATATCGAAGATAGATAAAGGATCTTAAAGCGATGGAAATCTGATGCTTAAAATCATTTTCCCATATCTGCTACGATTTAAAACGACGGGATATGTTTTAAAAATGCATGTCTCTTAAACCTCTATACGCACATGCTTAAAGCAAAATAATAGTGCTGCTATTGATGTTCTTCATCTCAAAGTCAAAAATAGGCCTTCAACACGAAGTTAATATCACACCTCACTCCAAGTTCAAGACAGCCCTGAGCATCGATTTCAGCGAAATTCGTTGCTTGAGATCGGTAACACTTAACCTATTTTTTTAAGAATTTCAAAGCTGTGGAATAACGTCAAAAAATCTAACAAACAGTGCCACATAATGTTCACTGGATAATTATAATTATTATAGAGTGTTGATTGTTGTTTTTGTTAACGTCCAGTGACAAATATCAGCTAACTAATACCCTTTGGAAAATAAACCCAATCATAGTCTTAAAATGAATTAAGGTTCTTATGCCTTTTTCACTGAAATCCTAGGTTTCAAATGGCACAGGACGTTTACGCTTTTTTTAACCTGTAACAGGAAAGGACATTAGCGCTTCAAACACTTTGATACATGTACACCTGAACTAAATTGACCGGACATTTGCGCTTTTTACCTATGATAGTTTACCTGTTATCTTAACCAAATTAAAAAAGATGTTCACATATTCTTACGAACAAATGAAAAATCAGAAAATGATGTTCGGGTAAAATTAGTGAAAACGAATTTTTATGGATGGAACATTTAAATTTTGCCCTAAATTCTTCAAGCAGCTTTATACAATTCGTGGATTTAAAATTGGAAACCATATTCGTCTTATGTTCATTCTATTGCACGGATAGTCCGAGAAACTGTATCATCATGGTTTATCTAAGCTTGTTTAAACTTCAAATCACCAGCTGTTCATGTTGACATTTAGAAAGAGTCGTGGTTGTTATATGGGATTTACTCCCATCCACCCTCTTGAATTGTTGTCGTTAACATCTGACACAAGCACAAGCATGATGGGGAAAGGTTAAGTCTTTTAGATATATATAAATATATGAATGTATTGTGTTTTGATAGTGAATGATTTTTTAAACATTTAACCATGATGACTCTAATGTTATGTTGATAAAGCGCAAATGTCCTATTGAAAAAGCGCAAATGCCCTTCAAATTAAAGCGGAAATGTCCATTAAAAAAAGCGCAAATGTGTTGCCAAAAAGCGCAAACGTCCCGCGCCGGTTTCAAAGCGGCTACCCATAACTTAAGTTTTGAGCATCTCAAAGCTGAAAACGCATGAAAAGACTTCATAGTTTGTTTTATGAGTAGACTGTTGCAGTCGATTAACAAATAATTTTATTGTTTGTTTATTGCAGTGGTCATGATGTGAAGAGAAAAAAATGTTTAAAACAGGGACTGTCTATAGTATTGAGTTATTCTTTAGATGTTAAATTATTAGTAAAAAATTTTAAAAAAAATTACTAGTACGAGCTGTTATATTTTTGTCCACATTTTGGACAGTGAAAAAAACCCAGCTGACCAGTTTGTGTCAAACGAATACCTAATACACTATATTTATGATAGTCAGCCCAGCATGCTTTCGCCATTTCAAAGTTGGAAGTTGACATTTTATGGTTATTTTGATAAATGCATTTGTTTTGTTTTATATATCGGTAGAGAACTCAGTTTTCTATTTGGAGAGAAGGGGGGGGGGTTGAAAGTTGGGGTCCTATTGAGAACTTGTAACTAAATACACTGGATCTGGAATATATATATAAATAAGGAGATCTAGTATGATAGCCAATGAGATAACTTTCCACCGAAGTCCAAATGAAGTGGTTGTAAGCAGCAATTTACAACCGTACGACCCTCAACAATGAGAAAAACCCATAGCGTATATTTGGCTGTAAAAATCCCCGACATGAAAAATACGAAACAATTCAATTGAGAAAACTAACGGCCTATTATTTCAAAACAATTTACGAAAAACAAATTTGACAGACATGAACCAACGACAACAAATTAACTACAGTCTTTTGACTTGAAACAGGGGCATACTGAATGTGGCGGAGTTAACCATGTTTGAAGATGCCAACCCTCTCCTAACCTGGGACAGTGGTGTAAAGATTAGTACCATCACCTCTCGTTTTCTCTATATTGTTACAAATATTGTATTAATTAACTAATTCCTCTTTACAAACATGCGAATACAGTTGTGATTTTCAAAATGATTTTCAATGTCCAAGTGATAATCAATGAATACATTTCTTTATAAGTGCCCAGAACGCTATTAAAATTCAAAAGAATTATTTTGTCTATCAAATCTCTCTTTAACACCAACAAACCCTCGCTTTATTGTTTGTGTTGTTTTAAGTTTCCTATGTAGCGTTCAATAGACTATTGTGTGTCTTTTCATTTTTTGCCATGGTGTTTTCGGTTGTTTTTTTTTCGGCATATGAATTCTGATTATCCCTTTGATGTCTTCTGCCTCTCTTTTGTTAATAAAAACGTAAGTTAAGTATTTAACTTATTTTTAAGTAAGGTAAAACATTAATCGCTTGTTCATACGTATTATTTATGTATAAACAATGACAGTGGTCCGAGAGAAAAGCAACCTTACTTAAATCAGGAGATAGAATTTGTTATCCAGATCTATAAATTAGTTAACGCATCAACATTTAAAAGAGAGGCGGAAGACATCAAAAGGATACTCAAATCCATAAGTCGATGACAAACTGTCAACGCCATGTGTGACGGGAATGCTTCTCTTAGTAAATGTGGTAGATACTTAGTCAGCCGTAAGCGGTTGAGCTAAGGAAGTACTTCTTTAGCTCAGTCGGTATACGCGCTGCCTTGTAACACAGAGGTCCCGGGTTCGAGTCCCGGTGGAGACAAAGCAATTTTGTAATGAAATTCATGCTCTCCGGTTACACATGAAAGAACAAAACGAAAATCGACTAAAAGACAAACAACGGTATACAAAACACAACATAGAAAACTATAAACTAAACAACACAAACCCCAGCTAAAGCAGAGGTTGATATCTAGTGCTCGAGAAAGGTAAGCAGATCCTGCTTCACATGTGGAACCCGTCGTGTTGCTAACAGTGGTAAATGATAACACACAAATGTATTGTTCACACTATGACTTATTCCCATTGTCGATTCCAAAGTAGGTAACGCGGTTCAGATTTGTTAAAAACAAACCCAATTTCCGATGTATCTCTCCACAACAAACACACAAAAATTCTAAAATAAGTCCATGGCAACAAAATGGAAGACTATAATTATAGTAGGTTTTTTTAAGTTTAAATCTTTCTCAAAAATAAATTGTAAAAAAGTAAATAGACACAATTCTTTTTGACCATAATAATTTTCGACAAATGCTCTGTCGAGTTTGCATTCAGGGAACGTATCAAGTATTGACAATATATTACCCCTAGAAATGACTGGATAATAAACTTTTACTAGAAGTTTTAAACGTCGTGTTTGTGCAGAAAGACGAATCAACTATAACTTATATTTATTAAAGGGTATGTTTTTTCTATTTTATAATGGCAAGTAAATCGCCAAATGACTTTCTTGAAATCTATTCATGCGCATTCTGGCCTTGTTGATGCTTGAGGATTTCCGTTGTTCACAGGGGCTCGTATCATAGATGTTTTGGGGTAGAAAATATATGCCAGTGAACTGGTATGTGTTTGACGTTGTGTTTATTCGCTAATCCGCTGATAAACACAATGTAGAACGCATACCAGTCGACTGGCATTTATTTCGGACCATAAAACATCTATCATGATACGAGCTTCCGTCCAATGTTGTGACCAAATACCTTCTGTCCTGCTTATGAATCAACTTTACCAATACCATAATCCACGAAATAAATTAAAAATCTTCAAAAAATTTGATTTTCTTTGACTAATTTTTAATATTAACTGTGTTTTTTACTGCATTTTTACCTAGACTGGTTTCCTATCCTTATGCTGTCTGGGTTAAGACATGGGTTTCTCATATGATGTCAGATAACAAGCCTATATATTTATACCATGTTGTCCTTTCTGTACATTGTACGAACATTTTTTTAAACAACAACGTGCATATCGAGGTTCTAGATTATTTGTATATGAAAGTCTGGGTGGGGGTTACAGAATAGAGAATAATGGACCAATACTACAGAATAATGGGGAAAAAATAAAGAGTAGAGAAAAATAGGCCAAAAAAGTAAAGACTAGAGAATAATGGGGGTCAAAATATAAAGAAAAGAGAATGATGGGCAAAAATGTAAAGAATGGAGTAAAATGACTCCAAGAAGTCAAGAATATAGAATGTAGGGTTCCCTATTTAGACCCTCGTACATTTAGCAATACTGAAGCGGTTTTCCGAAATTCGTAATAGGATCAAAATTACAAATAGAGAAACCCCCAAAATATGATATTTGTTGATTATGTAATGTTAATTACGCAAAGTACATATAATTACTTTTAATATCAAACGAAAATTGTCGCATTGTTGTAAATTACGTGGACCTCAACACCACTCCATGACTAGCTACTAGTTATAAAATTATATGAAAAAGTCAAGGTTTATTTTTTTCTGTCTCTTTAAATATTTGATATAACACGCCATAGCCCTTATATGTAATTTGTGGTATTTAATTACAAAAATCAAAGAGGCAATAATTACATCCGACCCGTATAAAACCTCTCGCATGCCAGATTGCAGCATCCATATACACAGTATCCAGAGACTGCATAATGTATATCCTAATATGCATTGGTCTTCTCATGACGACTCATGTAAGTAAACGTATACTTCTACATTTGTTAATCATCACAGGTACCTCGTCAACAATGCATAATACATTTTTGTAACTATAATTTCTAAAAAAAAAAAAAAAATGTCCAATTCTAAGTTATGGAATTATTTCTTCTAATATTTCTATGCATGCTACAAAGCTTTTTTTTTAAATCAATCTCTAAAATACTTTGTGAATTATACTTTGAGCTTGAATAAGTTCTGTTGAAGTTTTAAAGGAAGATAAAATCAATATTTCAAATGATCAAAAATTTTTGATTATTAAATCTCTGTTTGGGGACTCCTGACCTTCACTTTATACTTCCATTGAAATTATTCTTTTAATTTTACAGGTTGCGGCTCGATCAGGTAAGAACACTTTTGATAATTTCACAATAATCAAAAAGATAGAAGAGTTTGCTGACATGCTTGAATTCATATACGTATTTAGTTTTTTTTTAAATTTTAAATAAAATATTTATCTTTCGATCATAATTACATAATAATGTTTTGCCTTAGTCCTTAGTTCGTAATAACTTTTGTAAAAATTGTTTGAAATTACTATCAACGCGATATAGCTCTTTTTTGTGCTGAAACGGCGTAAAGTAAACATCCATCATCATCACTAGTCCGTAGTGCTATAGAAGATGAATTAAATGTTATAGAAGATGAATATCATAGGAATAAAATATATGAAATATCGATATATTAGATGTGTGACCATTATCTGAATTTGATATTGACTTATAGTATAAATTGATTTATCGCTATTTTAAAAATTTTCCTTTGATCTTGCTGACTGATAATTTCCTTTCTCAGTGGAGTCGAGTGATATGAAAAATTATCGCTAGAAACAAAGGGAGCACGTGCGCGTTGTCAATGAAATTAACAACGTCGTCATAGGTAAAATAGCGATAAACAGATTATCATTGGTCATCTCAACTCGATTGCTTTTCTCACTTTCGCCTCAAGCGAGAAAATCTATCTCGTTGAGATGATCAACGATAATCTATAAAGCTATAGTGGAAAATTTGATAATTTGCCAGCAGATCTTTTATATTTATGTCATGGTGTGAGGATTCGTCACATTAGATGGTTAGTAATGCAATATATTTAGACAGTGTTAAAATCAAAAGGAAAATTGTTTGAAGGACCATAGAAATACAAGACCGAGACAGTAACAAACACACCAATATAAAATCATATATATATATATATATATGATCCGTTCATCCTATTTCGACTCTTTGAAATTCAAGAGTCTATCCTAAATTGAGGTAAATTATATGGCCTTCCAAACACCGTTTCGATTCCTAACATCACTAAAGATTAATTGTCGAAATCCGGATATGGTGTACAAACAAAAAAATGTTTGCACTTTATTTTTGCACTTTATTTTTGCGGTATACCATCTTTTCACAAGTTTATTGTTTTCTGTTTGGTATTAACATTAATAATTAAGATCCATATAACATCTGGTGATCCGTTTATTTGGCAATCGCCAAAGGCAGTCAGCAGGGTTTAAGAACATCCGTTGTTCGACCTGCTAGTCAAATGCGTTTTGTTAAAATATACTTTTTCACTTTTTTGGTCTTTTGGAAAATGTTGTTTGTGCTGTATTTAGACCACTCTACCAAGAAATTTGTTTTGCATGCACACGTATAAAAATTGCGGTTTTTATCCAACGCAATCATAGGTTTGAACGTTGTTTTCAATTTAGACTTGTTTATATTTTTTCGTTTGGGCTTGTATTATATTTGCCTTCGGGTTTATATGATCCGTTCATCCTATTTTGACTCTTCAAAATTCAAGAGTCAATCCCAAATTGAGGTAAATCATATGGCCTTCCAAATACCGTTTCGATTCCTAACATCACTGAAGAGACATTAATTGTCGAAATCCGGATATGGTGTACAAATTTTTGCACCTCATGTTTGCGGTATACCATCTTTTCCGCAAGTTTATTGTTTTCTGTTTGGTATTTATTTAAAAAAAATTAAGATCCTTTTTTACATCTGGTGATCCGTTTATTTGGCAATCGCCATGGCAGTCAGCAGGGTTTAAGAACATCCGTTGTTCGACCTGCTAGTCAAATGCGTTTTGTTAAAATATACTTTTTCACTTTTTTGGTCTTTTGGAAAATGTTGTTTGTGCTGTATTTAGACCACTCTACCAAGAAATTTGTTTTGCATGCACACGTATAAAAATTGCGGTTTTTATCCAACGCAATCATAGGTTTGAACGTTGTTTTCAATTTAGACTTGTTTATATTTTTTCGTTTGGGCTTGTATTATATTTGCCTTCGGGTTTATATGATCCTTTCATCCTATTTTGACTCTTCAAAATTCAAGAGTCAATCCCAAATTGAGGTAAATTATATGGCCTTCCAAATACCGTTTCGATTCCTAACATCACTGAAGAGACATTAATTGTTGAAATCCGGATATGGTGTACAAATTTTTGCACCTCATGTTTGCGGTATACCATCTTTTCCGCAAGTTTATTGTTTTCTGTTTGGTATTTAATTAAAAAAATTAAGATCCTTTTTTACATCTGGTGATCCGTTTATTTGGCAATCGCCATGGCAGTCAGCAGGGTTTAAGAACATCCGTTGTTCGACCTGCTAGTCAAATGCGTTTTGTTAAAATATACTTTTTCACTTTTTTGGTCTTTTGGAAAATGTTGTTTGTGCTGTATTTAGACCACTCTACCAAGAAATTTGTTTTGCATGCACACGTATAAAAATTGCGGTTTTTATCCAACGCAATCATAGGTTTGAACGTTGTTTTCAATTTAGACTTGTTTATATTTTTTCGTTTGGGCTTGTTTTATATTTGCCTTCGGGTTTATATGATCCGTTCATCCTATTTTGACTTTTCAAAATTCAAGAGTCAATCCCAAATTGAGGTAAATTATATGGCCTTCCAAATACCGTTTCGATTCCTAACATCTCTGAAGACACATTAATTGTCGAAATCCGAATATGGTGTACAAATTTTTGTACCTCATGTTTGCGGTATACCATCTTTTCCGCAAGTTTATTGTTTTCTGTTTGGTATTTAATTAAAAAAATTAAGATCCTTTTTTACATCTGGTGATCCGTTTATTTGGCAATCGCCATGGCAGTCAGCAGGGTTTAAGAACATCCGTTGTTCGACCTGCTAGTCAAATGCGTTTTGTTAAAATATACTTTTTCACTTTTTTGGTCTTTTGGAAAATGTTGTTTGTGCTGTATTTAGACCACTCTACCAAGAAATTTGTTTTGCATGCACACGTATAAAAATTGCGGTTTTTATCCAACGCAATCATAGGTTTGAACGTTGTTTTCAATTTAGACTTGTTTATATTTTTTCGTTTGGGCTTGTATTATATTTGCCTTCGGGTTTATATGATCCTTTCATCCTATTTTGACTCTTCAAAATTCAAGAGTCAATCCCAAATTGAGGTAAATTATATGGCCTTCCAAATACCGTTTCGATTCCTAACATCACTGAAGAGACATTAATTGTCGAAATCCGGATATGGTGTACAAATTTTTGCACCTCATGTTTGCGGTATACCATCTTTTCCGCAAGTTTATTGTTTTCTGTTTGGTATTTAATTAAAAAAATTAAGATCCTTTTTTACATCTGGTGATCCGTTTATTTGGCAATCGCCATGGCAGTCAGCAGGGTTTAAGAACATCCGTTGTTCGACCTGCTAGTCAAATGCGTTTTGTTAAAATATACTTTTTCACTTTTTTGGTCTTTTGGAAAATGTTGTTTGTGCTGTATTTAGACCACTCTACCAAGAAATTTGTTTTGCATGCACACGTATAAAAATTGCGGTTTTTATCCAACGCAATCATAGGTTTGAACGTTGTTTTCAATTTAGACTTGTTTATATTTTTTCGTTTGGGCTTGTTTTATATTTGCCTTCGGGTTTATATGATCCGTTCATCCTATTTTGACTCTTCAAAATTCAAGAGTCAATCCCAAATTGAGGTAAATTATATGGCCTTCCAAATACCGTTTCGATTCCTAACATCTCTGAAGACACATTAATTGTCGAAATCCGAATATGGTGTACAAATTTTTGTACCTCATGTTTGCGGTATACCATCTTTTCCGCAAGTTTATTGTTTTCTGTTTGGTATTTAATTAAAAAAATTAAGATCCTTTTTTACATCTGGTGATCCGTTTATTTGGCAATCGCCATGGCAGTCAGCAGGGTTTAAGAACATCCGTTGTTCGACCTGCTAGTCAAATGCGTTTTGTTAAAATATACTTTTTCACTTTTTTGGTCTTTTGGAAAATGTTGTTTGTGCTGTATTTAGACCACTCTACCAAGAAATTTGTTTTGCATGCACACGTATAAAAATTGCGGTTTTTATCCAACGCAATCATAGGTTTGAAAGTTATTTTCAATTTAGACTTGTTTATATTTTTTCCTTTGGGCTTGTATTATATTTGCCTTCGGGTTTATATGATCCGTTCATCCTATTTTGACTCTTCAAAATTCAAGAGTCAATCCCAAATTGAGGTAAATTATATGGCCTTCCAAATACCGTTTCGATTCCTAACATCACTGAAGAGACATTAATTGTCGAAATCCGGATATGGTGTACAAATTTTTGCACCTCATGTTTGCGGTATACCATCTTTTCCGCAAGTTTATTGTTTTCTGTTTGGTATTTAATTAAAAAAATTAAGATCCTTTTTTACATCTGGTGATCCGTTTATTTGGCAATCGCCATGGCAGTCAGCAGGGTTTAAGAACATCCGTTGTTCGACCTGCTAGTCAAATGCGTTTTGTTAAAATATACTTTTTCACTTTTTTGGTCTTTTGGAAAATGTTGTTTGTGCTGTATTTAGACCACTCTACCAAGAAATTTGTTTTGCATGCACACGTATAAAAATTGCGGTTTTTATCCAACGCAATCATAGGTTTGAACGTTGTTTTCAATTTAGACTTGTTTATATTTTTTCGTTTGGGCTTGTATTATATTTGCCTTCGGGTTTATATGATCCGTTCATCCTATTTTGACTCTTCAAAATTCAAGAGTCAATCCCAAATTGAGGTAAATTATATGGCCTTCCAAATACCGTTTCGATTCCTAACATCTCTGAAGAGACATTAATTGTCGAAATCCGGATATGGTGTACAAATTTTTGCACCTCATGTTTGCGGTATACCATCTTTTCCGCAAGTTTATTGTTTTCTGTTTGGTATTTAATTAAAAAAATTAAGATCCTTTTTTACATCTGGTGATCCGTTTATTTGGCAATCGCCATGGCAGTCAGCAGGGTTTAAGAACATCCGTTGTTCGACCTGCTAGTCAAATGCGTTTTGTTAAAATATACTTTTTCACTTTTTTGGTCTTTTGGAAA